TGATAAGATAAGGCCGTAGTGACAGCAGTATTGAGCATTGCATTTTGATAGCACACTGGTAAAGAAACGTTAGGTTATAGATCATGGCTTTCATTTTTGACTGAGGTTTAACTTAGGCTCGGCAATACTAAGAAAATCAGTAGTATCGGCACTCTCTCGACATTAAACCAGTGATAAAAGTGGGTTTTGAAAGAATATATCTACTTGTACAGAGAATAAAGAACCATTTGAGAGGGTTTTGGCAAGGTATTAGAATATCATGGAAAGAGTGGTTGCGGTTTTGCAAAAACTTGTGCTGTTCCGTGATGGGAGTACCGGCTTTGAGCGAGTCTACAACTGGGTGAAAACTTGGCCTTTTTTTTTCATTGAGGGCTTAAAGGGGAGTGGGTCGTATTCAATTAAAAAAAAAAAAAGCAGAAAGAAAAAAGTTGCTGGTAGCGGTTAGTGGATGGTTAGTGTAAATAAGGCAGACAAAGACTTTATGGTGTACAACTTCAGTAATAAAGAGTAATGAAAAACCTATCGTTGTATAGTTTTTTTTCGTAACATGTAGCGTGAAGAGCCAAGACAATTGTTAAAATAAAGTTTTAATGGTTCTGAGCAGACTATTTCGACAGGTTACTCAAAGACCGTTGTCTCTGCAAAATTCAAGTCTCGAGATTGTGTATCGCCTAAAGTCTCAGTTTTGCTGACTATCACCGAAAGAGGGAGACCCATGTAAAACTTTTGTATAAGAATTTTTAAACTTTATAGAATCACTGCATTGCAAAATTGCTTTTCTTTTGAAGTGGTTTTTTTTTTTTTGATGATGCCGATTTTTGAGCGTTAGCAAAGACGATTTTTTTGTTTCCTTTTTCCAAACATGGCTTTTTTACCTGAGGGGCCACGGAAGAACAATTGCTTGTTTTTTTTATACAGGAATATTTTTCTATTCTTGAAGATTTGGAGTAAGCCATTTAGTTATTATAACTTTGAGCAACTCTTGCGTCAACTGTTGAAACTATAAGTTTTGAGACATCACTATGAATCAAAACGTAATCAAAATTTGTGTTTGGGTTAGTGTTTCTGATTCTCTCTATTTATTTTACTCGTAATACATGTACGGTGATGAGCTAGTAAATAGATTTATTTGTGATAGCGTAGACTAGGCAAAAGTTTTTCCTTTTTAAACTGCCTATTTTGATTTCCTAAATAACGTAACAAGATACTAGTATAGAATGAAACTTCAGACAAAGATTTACCTGTTTAGGAGAGGGCATTGAATTTGTGGCTTATTGAAGCCTGGTCAGCTCTCTCAGTAGCCAATAAAGAGACTCAAAACTTGATCTGTTGTCAAAATGATGAATTACTTGAAGATTCCTGCTTTCCACTTTCTCCAGTACTTTTAAAAAGGGTTTTGAAATTCTGTCGCACGCCTTTTCTTTTTAATAACCATCTGATACTGTACTGATGTGTCGGATGCAACAGCCCATTAAAGAATTCTCCTGTGCTTCCACTACAAACTGTTCTAGTTCAGTCTGATTTTCTAAGTTCAACACTTTTACTCCTATTTCAATATCGCTTCATAATTGTTTTTTTTTTTTTTTTTCTAATTTTAAATATGGACTGTGAACTAGCCACTTCAGCTGACTAATTTTCAATCCTGAAACCATTTTCTTGCTTTTGCAGAAATATACTTAAGATCGTTATCATTTTATTGATCATCGTGAGGTAGAGTTTTTTAAAGAAGATTTACTAAATAGTAAGGACTAGCTTGGCAAAATTTAAACGAGGTTTTTACATTTCAAAGATCCTGAAATTTCGCAAATAAAGTTTCCTCTTGCTGAAACATGGCGCTGAATCGTTCTTGACATTTCATTAACAAATTAACAAATTTCATTAACTTATTCTTTATCTGTTTTGGTACAGTAATGGTAAGTGAAAACAGTTTTTTTTTACTAGTTTACACAGTTTAGTATCCGTCAGTGGAGTGATTCGTCTAAGCTGCTGTTTTCTTTTCGCCCCTTTAGTTCCATTGTAGTTGTGGTGGTAGTTCTAAGCATTATGGATTGCACGCTGCAATACCCTTTAACCTTACCTGAATTCTCAGTGACTCTTGAAAAAACTGCAGCAAATGTACAGAAATCCTCACCGGCGTTTTTTTTTTTTTTTTTTTTTTTTGTTTTTTTCAACTTGTCCATCACTTTGGCAGTGTCAGTATTAAAAATTATTTTTTATTTACACGTACAGCTAGCCGTAAGCTTCACTAATGTATTTGCTTCCTCACTTTGAGAGGACTTTCTTATCAAAAGGAGCATCGGAATTTCTTTTTATTGTGAAACTCGAAAAAACAAAGGAGTTCAATTGCAGAATACTAATTTCGGTTGTTTAGCTGACTCACTATTTAGTAATATGAACTACTCGGTTTTTCTAACATAGCTCAGAAAATTTGGAACTTTTTGATGAACTACAAAAATTTATCATGGAAAGGTTGAGAATCTTCAGCGGGTTGTTTGTTGATTAATTCAAACCTAATGACTACTTTTTTAGGCAACCAACATTCAGAATCCCGTGTATTTAGAGACTCTTAAATTATTTACCGTAAAGTTGGGTGTAGTTAATTGTAAAGAAAAGCAAATTTCTTTTATTGGTCCTTCACGGTTACTGGCCTGAATTTTTAGGAGGAAGGCTAATGAATTTGAGTGCCCGAATTAGCGAAAAATTTGAACTTTTAGTCGTCGTAGAGGAAACTAACAAAAAAGAAAGTTTGTCTGCTGTGCCATTGTGTGAGAATATTGTTTGCTGGTGAAGAGTACTGCTGTTTTCTCTCCATTACACCAACTTAAAAAAAAGGTTTTCTGTACATTGTAAACAACTGATCTAACTTAATAGAAATTTTTTTGTAACGGGGCGTTTGTCAGCCGACTAATGTGTGAACTTTTATGGTTAGTCAGCGCTCAGACAGCAAACTCATGACAAATTTCTAAATATTAGTTCCGTCATGTTCTAACAAACACCTCTCCCTGACAGTGAAGAACTTTGGTAAGAAATCTCGAGATATTCACAAAAAAAAAAAAAAA